CTAATTGCAAGTGATTATCGAATTATTAACATATTTATTGTAAATACATTAGTGTTAATTAATAAATTATTTTTCAAAATATAAATGCATTTTTCTTATTAGAAATAAAACATTAATTCTAAAAATATATAAATATGCTTAATTTTTTTTTTTCATTTGTATATTTTTTTGGTATCAAAGTTGATTATTTTTTTATTTATTTTTTATTCAACTAATACGCTAATTGTTAATAATAACATATAAGAAGCAACAATAAAATGATTAACGAAACACAATTTAATTGATGCAATTGGACGAGATCTTTGAATTGAAACACACAACTCATAAAACACCAAACAACATAGCATGATAACGAAACATAGTAAACTACAACACCAAATGTATAAATTGAGATTCTCATAAACTACTTAATACTCTTGATTTTCATAGTAGTTATTGTTGTTCGGAAATTCTGGGACATAAACATCTCCATCGCTTCCTCAATTAGGTGATGTTAAAGATTATAATTGTGATGATGACGATGATAATAATGGTGAATGAGACGTTATTTTTTTGTTATTTTAGATTACTTTATGTTTTAATATTATTTATTTATTATGCAATGGTTTTTGAAATTATTGTTCATATATAATTCTATTATATGTAAAATAGTTTGAGTTAATTTTATTTCGTGTTTAGATATTTTTTTAATGTAACACCCCACCTTTCCAAAACCCGAAAATCCTAAAACCCGGGATTAATATTCCTAACTCGAGAAAACCCTTAGGAAATATTATTACGTGATTATATGCATTACGTGAATTTAACTATACTATTTACGTGAATAATTACATGCGTTATTACATGTGTGATCTATATGATTTAAATTTCCGTACATTGAAATCCTAGGAATTTCGTACATTACGTGAATTATGTGAATAATTACGTATTTTATTTGTTTGCTAAAATTACTTGGTAAATTATGTGTGGAATATATATATATACATATATATATGTGCCTATATATATACGTACATACATGCATGCATACGTATACATACATATATATGTTAATACTTGCATTATACATTTAAATACATATATATATATATATATATATATATATATATATATATATATATATATATATATGTCCGAAATGTGTATGTGTGTGTGTTCGGATGGTGTGTGTAGTGTTTATGCAAGTTGTCATTATATTAATAAAATAATTAGTAATAAGCATGCAATTACACTTGGCAACCCCTAATCATTTTAGCTAAACCTACACTCAACATTCTTCTTGTAAGATGAAGAGACACCTTCATCTCTTTTCCTTCCAACACATCTTCACTTACTTGTCTCTCTCCCCTCTCTCCACCGAGACAAATCACCACCACCATCGGCCTCTCCTCTCTCCACCTCACCTCACAATTTCAAAAGAATTCCCAACATAAATTAAAATGAGAGTTCCTTATTTAACTCTTGCCTTGGACTACTCCAAGAACACCATCAAGACCACTTGCCTTCTTTCGGGAGATCACAACTCCTCCCTCCTTGAAGCTCACACCATTTCCTTCACAATCAAGGTGGCTTGGTTGGACTTCGGTGCTTGAAAGCTTTCCTCCCTTTCGGTTATTTTTCTTACTTCGATTTTAAGGTAAGAAATTTCGATTTCTTGCTGCAATTAAATGGCATCAATAGTATTAAAAGGATTTTTTCAAAGTTTTCTAAAAGATTGGGAAAGATTTCGAAAATTTAGGGGTTTTTGAAGAAAAATGGAAATTAAGTGTTTCTTGTTAAATTCTTGTTCTTGCATGCATAATCTATGTTGATAGTGGTTAGATACAGCATTTATTGGCCAAAAGCCTCAAAAATTTCAGATTTCAAAAAGGGGTTTTCAAGAAAATGAGATTTTTAACTTTTTGTGGTTGCATGTGTAGATCTTCGAAAGTTTGGGCCAAATCTGTAATTTTTGTAAAGTTTGTCCGAAAAATGTTTTCAAAACTGTTTTCTAGCATTTATTGAACTAAAATTTCGGATTTAAAGAATTTTTGTAAGAAAAAGTTGATTTGGATATTCTATTAGGCTTGCATGTATAGATCTAGAAATTTTGGGGCAAATTATGTAATTTCCGAAATTTCTGCATAAAGTGAATTTTCAACTTCATTTTCTGCATCTAGTAAAGTGGAATTTCAGATTTGTTGGGGATTTTCATGAAAAAGTAGAATTTGAACTTGTAGTGTGGTTGCATGTATAAATTTCAAAACTTTTGGGTCAAAACTGCAATTTCCGAAAAATCTCTCATTTTTAAAGTTTGGATCTGTTTTTCAGCAAGTATTAATTAGGAAAAAGTTTTATTTAACAAGTTTTTAAATCAATTAGAGTTATGTTAGAATTTTGGGATTTTTAAATTAAAAAGGGGATTTTCCTAGTTTTTATTTCAATAAATTCGAACTTTGTAAAACTTTAAAATAATTTCAGAGTTTTGGAATTTGAGTCAGTAGGAGTTCTAGGATTTAGTTTGAGAATTTTTGGAATTAGTTTGCTAATATTTCGAAATTAGGATAATTGGCATACCATTTAACATGTTTTGTGCTTTAATGTTTATGTTCTTGATTTAATGGTGATGAGTGATGAATTTTGGTATTTTGGTACTTTAATTTCTGTTGGATGTGTTTAATGGTTGTGAGAAATTGATTGAAATGGATTATTACCTAGATGTGGTAATAAGTCCATTAAATGAAGGTAAAAAGGTGTTTGTTCTTGAGCTTGCTTTGAAGAGTAATTAGTGAAGTTTAATGTGTTGATTTGTGCATGTGTGTGTGCTGAATATGTGTGAGTGTGTGTGCTGAATGTGCATGTGGTGTGTGTCGTGTGTGGTTGTGTGTTGATATGTGAGAATTTGGGGATTTTTGCCCAAACTGTGAAAATGTGGTAAATTGTGGTATTTGTGTGATTTGTGACACTTGATTGACATTTGTGATGTTATGTGTGGGTCATAAGCATAATTTCGAAAAGTTGCATAAAAATGATTTTTATTTGAAAGGTTAATGGAATATCGGGTAATAAACAACTCGGATATAGTGGGCCGGTATCCAACTAGGATGATGTGGTAGTGGTTTGATTCCACTTAGTGAAAACGGGCTCGTAACAGGTTTATTATCCGGTACAGAAATTAATCTTTCACGGATCCGATAAACCGAAAAATGTGTTCTTCATGATTTTCACCAAAAAGGGCATTTTAGTCATTTTGCATAATTACGTGACCTTATTAAATGATGTGTTTTCGTGAGATATGTGATTTGGCCGATTGCCTTGTGTTGTTGTGCGAAACGTGGGTAAGAACGGGTATACAATATTATATATTATATATAACGTATTTCCAAGGTTTGATAATACTCGGATTTCTTACTGAGCTTTATAGCTCATATAGATGCCTTTTAATTGCAGGTTGTAGTAATCCTCGACCGGGATGGGTCGAGTAGTGGATCGAGGTCTTGCCCGGAGTTTTGGAAGACGTACGAGGACCTATGAACGATGCTAGACTTTTGGTTATTTTCTTTTGGTGGTGTAACCCTAAAACCGTAATATTTCCCTTTCGTACTTTTGAACTCGTTTTTCATTATGAATCGTACTTATTTCCTACTTTGATATGTTAAGTTTCGTAAATTGCTATTTTCATGCCTTCGTTAGAAAACTTCACCCAAAATAACCATTTTCGAACTCTGATTTATTCTCGAACCGAAAAGAACGTTTAGTGAGAATGTAGCACTCGAATAAGAAACCTCCTTTCCAAATTTATTTCCAAACCAAGATTTATATTCGGCTAAATCAATTCAACCAAGTTTTCGAAAATGCAAAGTCTTCAATACCCAAAAGAACAAAGTTTTGATAATTGCATTTTCACTCCATTCCAATGTTTCAAAAATTACAAAGAGATCCTTTGCTTCCGCTAGTTTAATAAATATTCCGATAAACCGGTTCGATTTATCGCCCGTCTAGAAGGGGGGTGCTACATTTAAAGTTTATAGAAAAAAATTAAATTATAAAGTCAAAAAAATTATTACTTAAAATTGAACCTATAAGTAATATTTAGAAAATAAAATATACAAAAATTATGTTAAATATTAAATTTATAGTTTTGTGACATATATGGTAAAATGCTATGGGAGCCCAAACCAAAAGCCATTTCCTATAGTTTTTCCTATAACTCAAAGTGGAAATCTTTGTTCTGTAAGAGATGGCGTAGGGGTGTGAACGAGCCGAGCTCGAGCTCGAGCTCATCTGAGTTTTTCTTTTTGAGGCTCGAGCCCTTTTCGTTATTTTTTTAATTATTATTTTTTTATTAAAAATTATTTATAATAATAATAATAATAATAATAATAATAATAATAATAATAATAATAATAATAATAATAATAATAATAATAATAATAATAATAATAATAATAATAATAATAATAATAATAATAATAATAATAATAATAATAATAATAATAATAATAATAATAATAATAATAATAATAATAATAATAATAATAATAATAATAATAATAATAATAATAATAATAATAATAATAATAATAATAATAATAATAATAATAATAATAATAATAATAATAATAATAATAATAATAATAATAATAATAATAATAATAATAATATGAAATCAGTGCAAAACTTTAATAATCCTAGTCATACTAACAACGTGGATTGTGGCGTATGTAAATAAAAATAAAAAAGAAAAGATGGTAATTGCTTTTCGTTGCAATTTTATGGTAATTACTTGGGATAATTAACAATGTATGGCAATTTTAAGATTCTAAAGGTTGTGGACTCTTTTTATGGCATACTTCACACAATTTGATTTTGATAGATACTTAATAAATTTTGTGCTTGCTCTTTAAGAAATAATCCTTCTCTCTCTCCCAAACATCAAAATACCGCCACCACCACTCCGCCGCTTCCCCTCCAAACACCCTCCTCTACAGAACCGGCGGCAGCTCCCTCCTCCTCCGGCCATACGATGGCGCCAAATAAGTCCAATTCGCAAAGCCCCCCGCCTTTCGATCCTTTACACGGTGTCATCAAATTCTTCCAAGGGTTCGGCTCCCTCATCTTCAACAGCCACCGCAGCGGCGGCGACGGAGGAGAGAGAAACCACAGAAAAAACGCACCGTCCAATATTTTCTGCCCACCGGCGCTGGCGCTAGAAGACAAATCCCGACCATGGGATTCCCACGGCCTGGAGGCCGGCGTGGTGGTGCAGCTAAAAAGGCTGAGCGGTTACAAAAAGTACAAAGTCTCCAGCATCAATTTCCTCAACCCCCGCACACGCGCCGCCGCCGCAGGCGCGGAGGAGTCCTTCTCCGACATGGTCACCCTCCAGCCGGGCGGCGTCTACACGAAGCAAACCCTAATACAAGAGCTGGAGTCCCTCTCGTCCTCACCCTACTTCGACAAGATCGACTTCGACTTCAAAACGAACCCCGACGGGTCGGTCGACGTCAACATACCCTTCGAGGAGACGGTCTACCCGTCGAAATCTCGAATAAGGTGCGTCAGCATAGGGTTGATCCCCGACGAACAGCCCGTCGAGATCGACCCTAACATGACGGCGAAGGAGCAAGTTGAGCTGATGAGGAGAGAGAATGAAAAGTATAAGAGGAGAATCAATGGCGGCAGAGAGTGCATCCTGCCGAAAGATGTCGAGGGTGAGATTCGGGGGATGCTTATGCAGACAACATGTTTGAGAGCGAGCCTGTTAAGAAGGGTACTTAATAAAATACAAAAGTGGTACCATGACAACGGGTACCATGGCGCGTTCGTCGTAAATCATAATAATCTCGAAAATAATCACGGTGGAGATATCGTTGTAGAGATGGTTGAAGGGGATATAACTAAGCTTGGGATTGTGTTTCAAGACAAGTTGGGGAATGTTTGTGAAGGAAATACTGATATTGCTCTTATCAAGAGAGTACTTCCTAAGGAGGTACAATTTTCAACTTTTTCTTTTTCTTTTTCTTTTTTTTTTTTTTTTTTTTTGAGGGCTTAGTAGTAGTTATAAACTTGGAACTTGGTAATATAATAGACATTTTACTTAACTCATGCGCGTACAGTGGCGAGTCAAGGAATTGTTTACACGGGGCTTAAATTTGCGGGGTTCAGGGGCAGCGGCCTCGAGGAAAAAAAAAAAAAAAAGGACCTTTTTTTGTTGGATAAACTAGGAGAAGAAAAAATTTAAGACCGTTTTTTTATTTTTTTTCCATATTTTTGTACTGTAGGTGGACTAAATAATAAAAATTGGTGTCCTGTGCGCGTATAAGCGGTGACAAGTTCAGAAATTTGTTAGTGATAGTGCATAAATTTTAAATTTATTAGCGCGAATAAGTAGTGGTCCAAAAAAAATTTGAATTTTTTTATTTGCATAAAGAAAATAAGAAAATAAATTCTTTTAGGATATTTTTGTTTTTTGCATTTATCTGGATTTTCGGTGCTTTTAATAATAAAAATGGATTTGGTAAACAAAATGATACATATAATATGGACAAAAACTTAATTGAGGTGGAGTTCATCCTTGCCAAAATTAATATACTGTGCTTGTGTTGTTATATAGTTACATATAATGTGTTGTTAATATAATTTACGTATATTGATTGCGTTTGCAGGTTGCGGTTGGCAATGTTTATAACAGAAGCGCGTTTGAGGAAGCTCTGCAAAACCTTGGATCTCTCAATATTTTCTCTTCTATGAGTAGCGGTTATGGATCGGACGAGAAAAATAACGGAGGCATATCCGCTCAGTTCGCACTGCAAGAACTACAACAAAAGTGGTCCGATGTTAGTACGGAATGGAATATTGTACCGGGCCGTAACAGCCGACCAACATTGGTAAAACAAAATTAAACATTTTTTTTTCACTTGGTATTTGGTTTGATGAACTAGTTATATCATATACATATTGTTTACGATTTACTATTTGCTGCTGATTAATTTCATTATTGATGCAATGAATGATCAGGCATCTTTACAGCCCGGTGCAACTGTATCGTTTGGCTATCGGAATATCAAAGGGCTAAATCGGTCATTACAAGGTGCAATCACCCTCGGCAACCTCTTCAGTCCTGAGGTGACTTTTCCCTCCAAATCTTCCAACTAAATTAAGATTGGCTATTTTTGTTTTAATTTTTTTTTTAAATTCAAACTTAACGGTTAAGGTTACGTATCAATTCCTAATCAGGGTTGGTCGATCGGGTTTTATGTTTATTCTCGTTTGTTTGAGAAAATAAACAATACTTAACTAAATAGTTGAGTTTTATTTTTCTGTTTGGTTGATTCAGTAACTTTTCGGTCATGTTCAAAATTTATTCACGAACAATTATTAGCCTCTAATAAGATTACGATAATCTTACACGCTTCACTTGTATTGAAATTACTTCGATTTTGCTAATGTTGTTTTTTTCATACGACAGGACGATATTAGTTATAACTTTGACTACACACACCCATACTTAGACGGGATAGATGATCCACGGAATCGCACTTTCAAGGCGGAGTGCTTCAATACTAAAAAAGTCAGCCCCGTTTTCACGGGCGGGCCAGGAGTTTCCAACAGCCCAATATGGGTATGTAGGGACGGAATTAAGGCCACCATCACTGAGGTAATCAAATTTTGTAACAACGTTTATAATGTAGTTAGTTCGTCAGATTTTTATCTTGACAAAAAACGGGGCTGAAGTTTTTGTTTTTGTCTTTCAAAAAAAAAAAAAAGGATTATAGCAGGCAGAGCAAATTCAGCTATGGACTAGTGATGGAAGAGGTAAAAACACGAGACGAAGGAGGTGATATTGCGGCAAGGGGCAATACGGTGTCGTATAAAGGAGAAGGTATAGCAAACGGACCTCCAACGACTTTGAGCGGAACGGGGGTTGATCGTATGGCCTTCTTACAAGCTAATCTAACACGAGACAATACTAGATTTCTCAATGGTGCATTAGTTGGCACGAGGGATATTTTTCAGGTTTCGTTTTCGTCTCTCTTTTTTTTTTTTTTTTTCGTGTTCTACCATTGATAATTAACTCTACATTATCAAACGTGCATATGATTTTTGGTATAGTGCAAAATATCTAATGACCGTAGCAGAGCCAATAGAATAAATTAAATTCTACTATGTCTAGTGATATTTTTTTATTTTTTTGTACCCTACAAATTATTGTGTTTGAAATGTGCAGGTAGATCAAGGGCTCGGCATTGGTAGTAAGTTTGCATTTTTCAACCGACACAAAATATCTACGACAAGATTCTTCCCGCTAATGAAAGTTGAGGAAGGCAAAGGCAAAGCGCCGCCGCCGGTTTTAGTCCTCCACGGCATGTACGGCGGTTGTGTTGGAGATCTTCCGAATCATGAAGCTTTCACCATCGGCGGACCAACTTCTGTAAGGGGCTACAGCGTTGGAGAGATTGGGGCGTCAAGAAACAAACTCGAGGTACGAAAGAAATAATATAATTTAAATAAAATCCAATAAATATATTTAATTTTAGTTTATAATAGTTCAATTAGTACTCCTTTGTCATATCGAATTGCTAAAAAAACTACCATATGTTACAAAAATCGCCCGATGACTCAATTGGTTTTAGCACACAACTCCCAAGACATAGATTCTAATTGCTAAAGAAAAATTATATCGTAGGGGGTTTTTTTGGCGATAAAATAACATGGGATAGATTTTCGGCGATTCGATATAATACAGTGGTACACTAATTGCAATAAACTCATTTTTACTTATATTGTGCTATAATGTGTTTTGAATATAACTGATTGGTGGAGACATAATTAATATGGTGCAGTTAGCTGCTGAGTTAAGAGTACCAGTTAAAGGAAGTGCATATGCTTATGCATTTGCAGAACACGGTAACGATTTAGGGAGCTCGGTATCAGTCGAAGGAAACCCTACAAAGTCGTACATGCGAAATGGCCATGGTTCATCATACGGCGCTGGGGTCAAAATCGGCAATGTGAGAGCAGAATACGCCGTTGATCACAATTCCAACAAAGGCGCTTTTTTCGTTCATTTCGGAGATAGATTTTGAGCCATATAATTAATTCGCCCTTATTTATTTTGCGCAAGTATTTTTATAGAATTATTTTGTGGAATAATAGAACAAAATTGATCAGTAAATAATATACTTTTTTAGTTTTTTCTTAAAATAGAATAAATTAAAGTTTTTAGAAAAATTACATATTATAATGCGTAAATTCCACTTTTCCCCTTGTACTTTGACTCGGTATCACTTTACCCCCTTCTGCTCTCGAGATTGCATCGATTTGCCTTCCTGCAATGGAAAAATTGTCTCAATGTAGCCCTCGGGAAAGTGGAATTTACCCAATTATAATTATGCAAACTATTTATACAATTGACCTATACCTAAGATTTAAGTTATTATAATTATGCAAACTCGATGTTAAATACATTTGGGTAGAACTCATCAAGTTAAAAACTAAGATTTAAGTTATTATAACCTAGGAGAGAGGGTGCCCATTCCACATACAAACAGTGCATGAGTCATACAAATTTTCGATGTGGGGCGACAACAACCTAACAGTTTATACATGTAAAAACTTTAACAAAATATTTATACTCATGAATGTGTGAGTATTTATCCAAAATATTTATACTCATGATTGGAATGTGTGAGTATTTATCCGATTTAGCCGGTTAAATGCCGGGTTTTTTTTAATGGTTAAACTGCCGGTCGACATATAGGTGAACCTGAATCAAACCGGGTTAAGCATTCAAAACTCAGTGTTCGCTTATTAAATATTATACACCCAAAATTTGGAGCCCGTGTAGAATGGAAAAAAAAACCATATTTCTTATATCTCTATCTAATTTTGATAACTAACGATATGCAAAAAAAATAGTTAATAAAGAGTATTCTTGTAAACAAATGAATGAGAAAACGAAGCCAAACAAGCGGAAACAAATAAACTTTAGTACTAAGCAGGTAAAACTATGTTTTAATCAACGAAAAGAAAGACTTGAGATTGCCCCATTGCTCCATTTCAATGTAAAGCGAATACTAGATCCGATTTCTCGATGGTTTAGCAATTCTGACAGATTTATCGAATGCCATCCTTCTCGATTTTTCTCAATAATCTCCATGCTTACTTCTTCTAAATCTCTTTCCCAAAACTTTCTGCATTGATCACCTTGTTCTCCACTTTCTCTCTGCATTAGAATCTTCCACACTGTCTTCCAGTTGAGGCCGAACAAACTGATTTTTCTTGGACGAAAAATACTAAACACACCGTTTAAAAGAGATGAATAGGAAGACAAGTGGCAACTCAAACTCAATCTCTCCACCACAAAATATTTATCGCAACAATTTTCTTGTATCAGGTTAATGTTTTCTTGAATTATGTCCTCGTTCATCTGATACTCACGACTGATAGAAATACAAAGAGAAACTTTCGATTGGCTTAATGAGTCGAGCAGCTCTTTTAGCTTGTGGAGCCACGAAGAAGGAGCACCATTCGGATGCATAGTTAGGCCTATAACCGAGATCAACTCTCTCGAAGTAGTTGTTGCAAACGAGATCGATGGGATAAAGTCTCCACTATATGCAAAATTGGCTATTTTTGGTGCATCGACAAATAGGTTGATTTCCTTCGACCGAAGGCGACCGACAATGATCAACCTTTCGAGGCTCGGAAATTTACATGACGACAAGTTGTCCCATGACAGTTCCGCACGGGTTAGATGTAATTCACTCAGATTACAAAAATCAACTCCTCTTTCGAACCTAAGATTACCGTAAGTAATCTCGATGCTTTTAAGAGACGGGGGATTTATTTCGATGCTACAAAGTTCCTCCTCTGCCGAGGGCATCTTATAAGGTGAAAAACAAAACTCCTTGAGATGAACAAGATTATTCGCGTCAATGTTTCTTAACCCCTCGCATGATCTGACGAACAAAGTTTCAACCGAAGGACAGCTTGCGATTATTATCCGAAAATTCTCGTCCTCAATGTAGACTTTTTGTAGACGAACTTCTTTCGGATGCTTAGAGAGTACCGTCCTTTGATAAGACTTTTGGTCCAACGTGAATTTTTCGACATGCAAATCTTGGAGCGATTAGGCTACTTCGAAGACTACTGTGGGCAGATGAATAAGTCCCGAACTCTGTTCCGAACAAATAGAAAGACAAAACTTCACCATACCCATACTTTTTAGTGTTCGGATCCATTTTTCGAGGAGCAGAATGGATTTGCGATCGGAATCATCTAGCGATACATAAAGCCCAAACTCCTCTATGCAAAGCTTTTGGTCACGATATCGTTGTAAAGTATTGTTAACAAGGGATATAAATTCATGTTTCTTACCTTTGAAGTTGTTGTCTGAAAAATCGAGATTGGGGCGAGTACACCAAATATTACGCCATAATTTCGACAAGACAGATGTTCGGACAGCATCTTCTTGGGAGAGGAAATAAAGTATTCGTTGCGAGATTTCTTGTGGCAACTCGGATATTCTGTCCATGGAGTTGGAACCGTGTTCTGCTTCTGCCCTTTTCCTTTCTGCACGATGAATCAGAATTTTTTTTTTTTTTTTTCCTAAAGAGTCGTATAGTAAATTTATTTTCAGCAATATAAGATGGGTTCAAGTTAGTACTGTCCGGCTAGTTTCAATTACTTAGAACTCTTTGAAAGGTAGAATTACAATATTCGCTGCAAGAAAAAAAAAATTACAAACTACAATATTGATTTTCTTCCTTGCAGATCACTTATTTAATTATTCATTCTTTTAGGATTCTTGCCGTTAGAGTAGATCACATCTTTTATTTAGGGTGAATTGCATTTTGCACCCCATAATTAACCCTAATTGGTGTTTTACACCCCAATATTTTAAAATTGGCGAAGTCCACCCTCAAATTATATTTTTCATGGCACAATGCACTCCACATCAATTCCTTCCTTATGAGATTTTAACCCAAAAACCAATATACCACGATATATTAACCTTTGAATAGTTTTTACTTTTTTATTCAAAAAATATTTGTAAAGCCTTATTTTTATTCATCCATTTAATTTTTATCAACTAAAAAAGTTAGTAATGTCCAACACTTCTCTTTCTATTTTTTTAAATATATATTAATTTAATTGAAAAATTAGGAATTTTTGAAAATTAAAATTGAATTAGAAATTTTATATGCATTTATTAATTCAATGTGAAACATATGAAATAAATTACCAGTTATGTTATTTTAAATTTATATACAAGTAAATCGAAAGCGACGAGAAGCCCCGGGGTCCATATGGCGTTCTCCGCGTCGAAGTATTGGGAGTGGAAGAAGGATTCTATGCACGCAATGCCGGCACATATTTCTTCTGTGTGAGGAGGAGGGGGTTGAACTGGGCCGCTAACTAGTGTGAACGGCCAAGGCTCCCTGGCCAGGATGAAGAAAAATTTGCCATGCCAATAACGGATCTTGTTGGGGACGTAGGTAAAGATACTTTTATATCCCCGACGATAGTACCCCGCCCCACTACGGCAAGCATAGAAAAAGTAGTCAAATAGCCCGCCACGTATATTATGTATATTGAGAATGACGCAAACCATGTAGAAACAGCTCATGATGCTGAAAGAATTAGGGGAAAAGCGACATAGGGGTGCACCAAATTACATATTGGCGACATCTACTACGAACGAACGGGTTCAAAGGAAAAGAAAGACCAGCTCACTCTTAGTCCTCATACCAGGTGATGTATCCACCCTCATTCGAGTCTGGCAACTCAAAAGGTCCGGGTAGTACATATCGGTATCCGGGGCCGAATTCTACTGATTCAATAATCCAAGGTCCATCAACAATTGAACAAGGATTATGGATAGTGACTTAGGGTAGGACGGCGGGCTCGGCACCGATGTTTAACCCTGTTTTTGCCGAGGTATCTTATGAACGAGAGGGGCCACGTTATGAATACCGGTTACTGTTGGAAATTTTATTTATTATAATAAAATTATTTTTTGAATGAAAATTAAAAAAAAATTATTTTTAGGCACCTATTTGATCAAATATGTGTGACAATATGAAGAGGTGTGGCCACACCTCTTCGATCACTTGTTTAATTTCCTAAGGGTTGTGTTCATTAATCACATCCATTGGAAACTTATAAATAGAAACTCCACATGTTTGATTTGATAACAACATAGAAAATCAATTCAATTCCATAATTTTGTTCTATGGAATTCTTCTTTCTTTAGCCCCGAAATATTCTTCGTAGAATATTTTCTTCCGTATTCGATTCGAGAGTTTGAGACACAAAGTAACGTTCGCTGTACTCGGAATTTTGAGTGCTCATATGCCGAGTTAGTCGTTGTATCTTGGAAGACCATTGCCAAATAACCGCAAGCACCGTAGCGGGGCAATAGTCTTAAGGCAAGAGTTTTCTCGCCTCGGCTAATCTTTTCGTATTTTCACTAATTAATTTGTTCGACCATTTTACTAAATTCACTACCCGTTTTATATACCGGGAACAACAATCTTATGACAATATTTGTGTGATTTAGTAAATTGTGTTTTCTGCACACGTTGGTAAATGGGATGGAGAAGAAGATAGTCTGCCAAAAATCAAGAAGTTACAAAATCAAATTGGAGGAAAAAATTCATTTTCGGACAGAACATGAAGTCCACGTTCCTTCCCATTTTCGAAGCTGTTAAAGTCCGAATATGGAATATTAACATTTCACAGAAGTTGTAGATAATCAAGTTTTCTTTCCAGAACATATTAAATCTTCAAAATCGGAGATCGTACGGAGGAGTTATGGTAAAAACACGAAAGGGTGTCAAAACTGCCAATGCTACAACCGTTCGTGACCAATGCAACTTGTCGCATATTAACACCTCACCAATGTCTAATGCACGAAATTTTGGTGAAAGAAGACTGAGTCTAAGAATAATGATGAGGTTTTATATTATTTTCGATTCATGAATATTATTTTATATTTTTTGTGGTTCCATTGTAGGTGCATTTTTACAGCACACCTATTCCGACTTCGAGGCTTACTTTGATCATCATCCAGTCGGAATCTCAGAAAACGTG